TTTTCACTTATGAATCATGGGTGTGTTTAACTGTTAACTCTTTCTACAGTGGGAGACTGAGAGTTCATACTAATTTAAAACTTTGTAAAGATCGGTGCTGTTCATTCATGTTGAGAAGGACCCTTTCTATGTGACCATAGGACCATTTTGCTAAGTGTACTTTCTTCATAGAAGAAATGTTCAGTTTAATGAGCGTTGGAAATTAAAATGTTTTTCTGATCACATGTAGTGGGTTTGGCCAGTTTATTTTCTCTAATTTAATGAATAATAAATATTAAGCTCTTGGTTAAATGTTTGTCAGCTAATGAAAATATTATGAAAAAGCCTTGAATATGCATGCTGCTTTCATTTTTATAAACTTTATTTTTTAACTATAGCTTTATTAGTAATTCTCAAATGCTGCAATTTAGCTGATTCTTTACTCAGACAGTTGGCTTTGTGGGTGGCTTTTTTCATACTACTGTTAACTTTTTTAAAAAAGAAGCAATGTAAAGACTGTAACAATTGAATGCACTAAACTCTTCTTTTACATGTTTAAGAACTTCTTAAGGCACTCTGTATTATAACAATTAAATTGCTCCCTTTTTTAAACCATTGCTAATGTGGTCTGAGTTTTGTTTGACAGTAATTTCAGTGTTTTCAAAATTTGAAATGTCAAGTATTGGAATATATTTATATTGTTCGAGTATATTTATATTGTGTTTCCCTTGCAATATGTTAACTGTATAGCTGTAAATAACTACAATACTAATAACATTTTCCCATCTTTTATAGGGTTGATAAAATTCTGCTCTGATGTTTGCTAGCTTTTAAATATATTTATTTGACAGAGCAAGAGAACCTTTCTCTCCTGGTTGATTGTGTCCTTGAATACAAAATAAAAGCAGTGAATAGTAGTTTTCAGTGACTTTTTTCCATTTTATTAACACAGTTTTAAAAATTGTGGTATAACATAAAATTTGCCATTATACCCACTTTAACTATACAACTTAGTTCCATGAAATTATATTCACAGCATTGCACAATGATCACCATTTCCAAAAATTTGTTTCACCCCAAACAGAAACTTAGAGCCATTAAGCAATAATTTCCCATTCTCGCCAGCCCCGATAACCTCTAACCTATTTTCTGTCTCTATGAAGTTGCCTATTCCTGATATTTCAAATAAACAGGCTCGTGCAGTGTTTGTCCTTTTATATCTGGCTTATTTCATTTAGCGTGTTGGCAAGATCATTCATGCTGTAGCATATAGTAGAATTGTTGAAATAGTTGAATTATACTGCATTGTGCATATACTCACAGTATCTTGAGTCCCACTTATTTGTTGACGAACACGAGTTGTGTCCACCTTTTGCCTGCTTTAAATAATGCTCCATTGAGTACTGGCATACGAGTATTTGAGGATATTTTTGTTGTTTTGTAGTATTGGCATTTAAGCCCATGGTCTTCACACTGAGCTATGTTCTTTGGCCCTATTTAGTTTTTATTTTGAGGCAGTCTTGCTAAGTTGCCAAGGCTAGATTTGGAACTCCTGAGTCACGGTCATTCTGTGTTTTGTTGGTTTGTTCTGCAGTACTGAGGGTAAATCCAGGGCCTTGTGTTTAATACGCAGTTCTGGCTATGTGATTCACCAGCCCAATTTTATGTTGAGACAATTGTCTTGCTCAGTTGCCCAGGGTGGCCTTGAACTTGCGATCCCCTGCCTTCATCTCCTGTGTGACATTGTCATTTCCTGTGGTTACTGACCACTACCATGTCTTCTTGGAGAAACATCTGCTTAAGTCTTTCAACCAGTTTTTAATTGGCTTGCTTCTTTGTTGTTACATTTTGGGTTTTAGGATTGCTTTATGTATTGTGGATGTTAGTGCCTTACATGATTTATAAGTATAATCAGTCTGTATTATTTGTCAATTCTCTGTACAATGGTGGTTTTAATTTTTTTTTTTTTTTAATGTATTTGGTACAGGGTTTCACTATGCAGCTCAGACTTGTAGTAATCCTATTTTTAGCCTCCCCAGCGCTGGGATTACAGGTGTGCACCAGCATGCCAGGGCTGGAAGACCAGTTCAGCACCCTGGGCAGGTGCAGCATGTGAGACCAGGATCAAGCCCCAATCCCTGCGCTTGCCTAAGCAGGTGCTTAGTCCATGGAGCCATCTTGCCGGCCCTCTTTGGGGTTTTCTAAACATAGGATCACGATCCCTCTGGGTAGATACCAG